CCTCCCACCACCACCGCCCCCAGCCACCCTCGCTGGGAAACACTTTTATCCTCCCCAAAGACAGCCAGGTCGGGCCCGATGTGAAACCCGAGGCTGCACCCAAGCGCGCCCTGTACGAGTCGGTGTTCGGGTCTGGGGAAATCTGCGGCCCCTCTTCCCCCAAAAGACTTTGTATCCGCCCCTCGGAGCCTGTGGATGCGGTGGTGGTGGTGACGGTGAAACACGACCCCCTGCCTCTTCTTCCAGAAGCCAATGGGCACAGAAGCACCAATTCTCCCACAGTAGTTTCACCTGCTATTGTTTCCCCCACCCAGGTAACCAAACCAAACTCTATGCATGAAATGTTTCTCTGGTACACTTCGGGACTAACTTTTGTGCTAATGCAGGTCTGGGTAGGGGGGAAGTTTTGAAAAGTAGGCACTATGCTGAATCGGATTTGATCTCGCCCTTAGAAGCTTTACTCTCCTGGTGCTTGTCGGGAAAGTGTACCCCTAACCTTGAGAGATGTGAGAGAGGGCATGCTGCCTAACAAATCACTGCTGACTGTAACGCTAAAAACTTCAAAGATCGCAGAACAAAAGAATTAGCTGGACTGCAGCCTCTCTTCATTGAATGCATGAATTGTGTGAGGCAGAGAGAACGCTGTCCATAAAAAGGAAGCAGTTACTTAAACACGTTGGAAGAAAGTAAGGTTAAGATCCTCTATAACATATTCATCATAACTTATTAAGGTAGAATAGCAGTTATAAGTTATTAAAAAGAAACATGCCAATCCACTTCCTGTAGCTTTTTTTTTCCCGAGAAAAGGGGCGGAGAGAGTAGAGTCACTGGCAGTTGAGTGCCCATGTATGCTGTCACATGTAGTCCCATGTACAGTGACATTTGGGGCATAGTTTTCATAAACTGAAGTCACTTGGGAATGTAGTGTCTTGACTACCAGTCAGGCTCTGAACTGGAGTGTGGCCTGTGGTGCCCAGCTCTGTGCTGTCTGTCCCTAGCTTCCTGGAGCTCACCACCCAGGGGGCAGGTGGGACTTTGGCAGTTAGATAATCCAGTGACAAGAAAACCAGGGTAAGAGTGCTAGACCAGAAGTTGAACAAGTGTTGTGCAAATCAGCTCTCTCTCCTGTGTTTCAGTGTTCTCTAAGATGAGGGAGCTGTTTCAGCCCCGCAGTGACTGGATTCTAAGCAGCAGGGAAAATATGTGGAGATTTTACAACTTTGACCTCGCCACCATCAGGCCCAAGTAGACCGTCCACTTTAAGTCTGGAGGTGTAGTGCAGGCCCTTGAGGGACAGATGTCAGGTACTTCAGTGCTGTTTGTAAAGTGGAAATTCCAGTTCTGGCCAAACTGACCCTTTCAGAGGATTTACCAGCTAATTGGCAAGCCTCAAGGCCAACTGAGAAAAGGGCTGTGAATGGTAACATAAACACCAAAGTTCTCTAAAATACACACGACCTGGGACTTTCTGTCCCTCTGGTGTATGTGTTGTACATTTCTGACAAAGAGGGGGATTGAAAGAGTTGTAAGGATAGAGCGGAGACTTGGGGTTTGCTTTTTCTTTGAAAGCAAAAATAAATGTTCACATTCTTCTTATAAAATTAAAAAACCCTTAAAGTGCGCTGGTGTAGAGTAGCACCTGATAAATTAAGAGTTAAAAGCCTAGGAACGTTTATTATTAGAATAGTAATGAAAATGTTTCTCTATTGGCATCTGTCTGCTCCATTCCTGAGTCCAATGTCATGTAGAATCATGAACTAAAGATTCACACAAGATGAGGGAGTTTTGTTTCCTTGGTTTTGCTTTGTGCTAAGGAACGCTATTCCCTCTGTTACCATCTTTTATATACCTGATTGAGATAAATCAATTCTATAAAACTGTATGCTGATGTTTTTATTATTCTTGAGATATTGTCAGGTAACTCACAAGGTAAACGTAGATTTGAGTGCTCACATGTTGCTTATAGGATTAGTATGGCTCTCAAATGTGATCTCAGCTTTCAGTCCCTTTAATTAAAACACTTCCACTTTGGTGATAGTTCTATGGGGGTCTTCCAACAGTTCCTGGAAAGTGTAAATTATGAAAAAAAAATGATATGTGGGTTGTACATTTTTTGCATCAAAATAAACTCACACTTTATTTCCATATTGCATGAACTTTTGGAAGTCTCTTCATACTTAACAGCTTCTCACTTCTGTTACATTTGTTAAAAATCAGCATCAAGATGTTTAAAGGAACTCTTTAGTAACTCCGATAGCACTCACTTATGAAGTCTGAGCAGTCTAAGTTTGAAACGGATGTTTAGTTTAAGTAGTAAGCTAATACTAAACTTTTTCTCCCGTATTTATTAAAGTCACTAACAATTGAGGTGCAGGGCGTTTCCTGGGGATTAATGACTGGCTGGAGTTACTGGCCCATAGGATTGCTTTAGGTCATCAGCTCTTCTGGCTGGTCATTAATCCCCAGGAAATGCACTGTGTTCCTCAAGCTTCAGTCATTATTATTTAACTATAAACACAGGCTATCCAGCCTTCCTACCCACTGGACCTCCTCAAGTCACACTGCACTGGAGTCCACTGCTGACAGTATGACTGTAGACTTCTTGATAACAGAGAGGTCACACACTGAGGCTCTGAGTCTCTTCTAACATCGCGAGCTTTTTCAAAAGATAAAGAACCTGCTGCTTTAAATGCATTGATTCTCTTTACTTCTTGAACCTGTTAATAAGTGTATCATTTATGGGACAGGTTGAAGAATGAATCCACTCAAGGATTATGGAATTTGTGGCTTTCATTCATGTGAAGTAGCTTTTTTTAGAGAGAGGGGATTGTGGTGGCAGTTGTGATGGTTGTTTTATCTACACTTTGATTCTCTTGAATGGTTGTGTTAAAAAACAAAGAGTAGTTTTAGTTCCCTTTTCCCCCCACATAGCTGTTGTGACCCAAGATGGTCTGGTTATTGGTGCAGCATGACAGCTCCCAGTTGGAGATTATGTGGTCCCTTTAAAAGGTTTAGCACCAGATCCTCCATCTTCCTAGCTGTTCTCTTTGGCGGAGAGAGGATGTATGTATGTATGTATATGTGTGTGTGTGTGTATATATATATGTGTGTGTGTGTGTATATATATATATATATATATATATATAGAGAGAGAGAGAGAGAGAGAGAGAGAGAGAGAACTTTTCCTACCTCAGGGAACATTACATCAGGCTACATGAATGTTAAAGATAAGTAATTTTATTCTTTTTTGGGGGAGAGGTTTTTGCTATAGGGCACATGCACTTGTCAGAAAGACAGAGAGAAACAGACAGAAAGCAAGAAATCACCCCCGAGGGAGGATGGCCATGCCTCAATCCCTTCTCCTCCATTCTCCTCT